TTTCATCACTGAACGGTTGTAGTCTGTAGGTTCTGCCAGAAGTTGAAATTTCGTTTTTCAGTGCAGTTGAGACTGAACTAAGTTCAGGTGGGACTCCTCTTGGTTGGGACCTGGTTGAGACCTACGTGGGACCCTTGGGACCAAACGGAACCCTTGGGACCCAACGGGACCGGGCCCAAACAAGGAGAGTCTCTGGACCCAAATCAGTTAGGCATTGACCTCTTGTCTTCTTGGCTGGGATATGAGTTCATTTTTCTTGGATTAGGACACCCACTGCCGAGGGGATCTTGGCTTCGACGTTTCGCTTGTATTCTGATTGCACCATCTGTGGCTTGACTCGCACCCTGTACACCACTCAATTCTCCATTGTTGCATTTAGTTACTCGTTGTCTGATTTGCTGTGCGGACACGGAGCTGGTCTGACTGGACTCGAGAGGACCTCGTATGCAGTCTGATCAGACTGGGTCGATGGATCAGACCTCTCTTTGAGTTTAACTGTTTCTTTCGCTGTTCTCTACTTCCAAATGAAATGTCGCTCCGACTAGGAGTTCTACCTTCTATTCTCTGAGCTTTATGTGTTTTTCTGAGTTCATTTTCGATGCCCGTGGAGACTCGCAATCTGAAAGAAGAAAGAGAGAGGAGGGAGAGAGAATAGGGAGAGAGGGAAAGTGATAGTCTGAAGTGGGCGTCAAAGCGCAAGGGGGAGTGAACCTCTTGAGAGTCTGATTGATTCTTTTGCTGAGGGGCGACTCTCTGACCCACCTGTCCATACTGACAGTCCGAAAATGGCCCACCTTACTTCAACGCAATGGCGGGCCTTGTTAGATGCAGCCAGTGATGCTGAGAAACCTCATTTGCAAGCACTCTTAGATGGTGCAATAAAACGGGAACAGTAGTCAGAGAAGGAGAGGAAGGAGACCTTGCTGAGAAGGCAAGTAGCTCTCCGAGAGACTGTTCCCTCACTGACTGAACAACAGTGCGGGGAACAGTTGCAGTCCATACTTACAGCCTTTGTTCAAGTTCGGAATCTTGAGGACCATACCACTCAGATCGCCGAAGTCTTTGCAAAACTGCAGACTCCTCAGGATGATCTGACTGATATGACCCGCAAGTACCATGACTTGACAAAGGAGGTGGCTAACCTGCGACAAGCCCAAGTGGCCAACCCTCTTCCTCTACCCCCTGGATCTGAAGCTGCAATCGAAACCACCTCTGCCCCTCTTACTGTATCTTCTTCTACCTCTTCTTCGAGTGTGATGGCAACCCCTTCGGGACCTGCAGCAGGTGCAGATTCCGCTGTTGCTGTAACAAGCAATGAGGCTGGAACTTCTGCAATTGCTGCAGCCCCAAGACCGGAAACAGCTGCTACTCGTCCCAGCTACGCCAGTCCCTACGTAGACCGGAAGGCGGTACAAATGTCGTCCAAGTACGACAGCAAGGATGACATCGAGTCCTGGATCGGCTCCATGAGGACCTTTGGAACCGCGCCCTTAACCACATCCAAGCAAGATTGAGTGGACAATTCCAAACCAGGAGTGGCAAACAGCTTGCTTAGATAGGTCTGCAGGCTTTTCATGGAGCCATTCCACTTGTTGTGCTTTACTTCGTCTAGTTGAATCCTCACTTTAGCAGCAACATGTGGATCTTGGTATTCCGAGATAAGGAGCTCTTCGAGGGAGGCAACCGGAGTGGTCCTTAGCCATTTGGCTAGTGCAGCCTTTGGAAACCCAGCCCGTGCGCCTGGGCAGGGACTACATTGCATACATTGGCTAGCTCGCCTTAATGAAGGACGTAGTTAGTCTGGAGGCTATGGACCTCGTTAGCACGGCAGGCAGCAAAAGCCCATGGGCGGCAGACGGTTCAAGGGCAGCAACCGTTTTGCTGTGCATGACCTGCTGGAGGCCGAAGAAGAAGCCGATGCGGGTGACCCCACTCTTGGTGACGACCAAAAACAGGACTCCGATACAGCTTGTTCTTCGGCCCATGAGTCCGACGCAAATAAAGAAGAAGAAAATTTTTCTGCCTTTAAAAAGACTGCCAGCACTAAGGGACCGAATC